TACCATTGGAGAACACTTAGGAACTTCAAAATTTTTTATAACCTATTGGTTTAAGATGACTGCAGCTTACTACATACCACTACCAGATCTGTGTCCTTAAGGTTACATTTTTTTTTGTTTTAAGTGTGAGCTGCTTTGAAAGTTCTGAATTTTATCTATGCTTGGTTATGATTGTTAAATATTGCAGCTTTAGAGTTTTTTCTGCCAGTTCAGTTTATTTCCTTTTAAAATGTAACGTAGATTCAGTTTTATGTTGAAGTTGTCATACCTTTAAGCACCTTGGCCTGGTGTAAAATGAGTGGGATTTCCCCTCCATTCTTTGTGTCTGTCAGCCTCACTGAGCATGACAGGCATGTGGGGGATTAAACATTTTGCCTCAAAGAGTTGAATCGGAAATTAAAGTTGAAGCTAAGTTAAACACAATAGTTTAGGAAAGTGTTTTTTGGCTTCTTTAAAACTTGTTGTCAACATACCAGTGTGGAGCACTTTATTCTTAATATTTTTCTGAAGAATCTAAACATGATCATTTTATCATTTTCCCAAAGGAAAATGATTGAAAGACAACTTTATATGTTATTCAATTATTGGTTTTTTTGACCTATAATATTATTCATTTAATAACATATGGAAGTTCTGCAAAAAAATTGTATAAAAAAATTATTTGCATATAATTATCCTTTTCCAAAGCTCTACTTTAACAATGTTTTTCTTTTTTTTTCTTTTTTTTTTCCTTTTTTTTTTTTTGACACAATGGTTGCCAACTTGAATGTTCAAAAATGGAGGCTAAATAGCACATGAATTGTCCCCTTAAGCTTTATTTGGAGGGCTCCGAATATTGCGAAAGCTATTCAAGGAACCACCGTTCATAGCGGAGAAGGTAAAGTGAGGTGGACAAAGAATGGTTCAGGTACTTTTTCTGTTGGTAGATGTAATGAGCTCATGGGAAGTAAAAAAAGGCTGCCCTTTCATGGCAAAGACGTATTTGGTGTGGTTTGGATTACGTTTGTCAATAGATTAAAGACTAACAATGTGCTACTAAAAAAAATTTGCATGTGGAGCTAACTTCTGTTCTATGTGATGCTCAAGATGGAACTAGAAGCCATCTGTTTTTCAGTTGCTCTTTTTCTAAACAAGTATGGCTCCTGTCCCCTGGTACCTAGCTAAGATTGGATTTAGTCAAATGCCTTCTGCCTTGGAGAATGGGTATTGAAAGTTACAGGAACAGGTACAGAGAAGGGAAACAAATGAATAGGTAGCACTGTTGAATATGATTGGATATAGTCATATGCCTTCTAACAGTTGCACTATATATGAGGAAGGGATGACAATAAGCAGCCCTGTTGAATATGATTTGATTGAACTGCCTGTATAAAATGGTATTTGTTGTTTCCTGCTTTAATTTGTCCAGCAGTTGAATTACTTCTTGGTTACATTATTTTGTGTATGATTTTAATTTATCTGTCCTTTCTCAAGCAATTGCAAAATCAGTTTTTACCTACCTTAGTGGGGTTGCTCTTCTGCTGCTGCCAAAACAAATCTCACCTTCGAAGTAAGATGGCGCTTTCCTTTCTTTCGCCCCTCCAGCATAGAGGAACTCTTTTGGATACCTAAATCAAAAGTATAGCTGCCCAAATACAGTTACTAAACACACAGTCACACACTCAAAAAATAGGCGTTCACGTGTTCCCTCACCCGCAGCAGCAAACGACACACATACACTCTACACCATCACACCTCTAAGGTGCAGAAAAGTAGTATTCAACCTGTTTCTAAGCGTTAACCAATAAGCTTATATAACATACATTGCCACACGTCTAAAGCAAAGAACCCAAATAAATAAAAGGGAATTTCCCAAGTCCCATTTTGAACCATCCAAAATTTCACAAAAGTTACTAAACTGGGACTTATAAGGAGAAGGGCTAAAAATGAAATTGGATAATTTCATTGAAATATAATCGTCTTCACTAACATATCCATTCACCACTAGTTTGCATATCACAACAGTTATTAGCCTTTACAAACTTGACCCTCTAAAAGAAGTTAGCTTCAAATTGTTCTACTCCTCTAAATCTCTTCCTCAGCTGCTCCATCAAATGTACTATCGTTGCCAACAGAAACAAGACTTTCCCAACAGACATTGTATCTGAACCAAGGAACATAGGGCAGCCCCGCAATACTCACCCTTTGGTTTGTTTTGTTTTCAAGGTTATACCAAAAAACCCCATTTAGGCCACCAAGCAGAATGCTATCCCCATCTTTTGAATAAGCCAAAGGCCAGAGCGGAAATACTTGTACATCAGGCAAAACAGTCTCCACATTCACTATAGTGAACTCTTTCCTCCAACTAACTCCTCCATCTTCTCCACCCTTATCACTCACATCACTCACAAGCAAGTAAAATTCTACATTTTCATGATGCCATATACGAAAATAAAGGTTACCTCCGCAAACCACCAAGGAATCAAAGGAATCTAAGCACTCCAAGAGGAAAGTTGCTGGGAAAACTGCTGAGCCCCAATTAAACACTAGCGGGATGTCAAAAAACACCTCCTTGGCGAGATCAAAACCAACACCCTTATCTTTACATACCCAGTACAGAGCACCGTTTGCAAAACGCCCCACCTTTGTGTTAACTTCATCCACCAAATCTCGGCTCCTCCTCCAAAAATTCAATTTCAACCCAAAAACCCAGACTTGATAGAACACGCGATTGGAGTCATGAACCTTCGAAATCATCACAACCTTATAATCATCATGGGCAGAATCATACCCTAAACCACAACTCATGAATCTTCGGTGCTCAGAAAGGGTTTGGACTGGACAAAGCGGTAATTTATTATGCCGCCTGGTAAATGGATTCCATACGGCAAGATTCATGCTTTGGTAATTGACTTCAAGATCCGAACCCAAGAGAATCAGACCATTGCAAGAACCGTACACGGATAAGCCCCTCAATGGATTGCTGTGTGGGAAGGCATCAACCAGGTCGTCATCGAAATCAGCAAAGTAGAAATCCTTGAAATGCTTGAATTCTAAGTTGTAGATGACTAGCTTTTGATGGGTTTTCCTCTGGATTGAGCTGTTGAGGTGATTCTCGACGAACTTTTCACTATCAATTTCGGAACAGAGTGATCTTGAAAGGCATCTGAATCGGAGGAGAGAACTTACCGGGAGTCGCAGGAGAATATCGGTAACTAATTCCGGCATCAATGCAGAAAATTTCCGGATTTTTTTCATGATGATCGGCGATTTCCGGTTTGACAGATGACTTTGGAATTTGGAAAGAAATTTAGGTTTTAATTTTAGAGATTTAAGTTTTATAAGATAAGGTGTTCATTATAATTTATTTTATAAATTTATTTAAATATTTTAAATAAATTTAATAATAATAATAATAATAATAATAAAATATCTAATCCTTTAGATTTAGTGGCATTACTCATACACCAGCGTTGAATTCCACTTCATGTCAAATTGCTCAAAAAAATATCGTTAATAAAATAATACAAAAAATATCTTATTAAGAATATTTAAATACATTTATAGATATATTACATCTTTAATCTAGAGTTTACTTTCTAAAACACATTTTTTGGGGTTAATTTCAACGGAGCGATTCAGATCATGGGCCGATCTTGCATGATTCATTTTAATGGATTGGATCTTATTGAGCTCCATGCTTACCCACATGGACCACTATAACAATGCTGCTTGGAGTATTGCCTATTTTCCAAAAAAAAAAGATGCTGCTAGGACCAGGAAGGTGTGCACTAATGCTACAATTTTAATTTTTTTAATTATTACAATTACACTTGCCATTTCATGGCATTATTATCTATTACAATATAAAATGCATAAATTATGCAGTAAAAATCATGAATATAAAACATGCTTTATAAGGCGAGCAAATGATTGGAGAGCCAGAGTCAAAAGGTAGTTGTTGTTTCCTGCCTTAATTTATTCTGTTCTTTTCTTTCTAATTAGATTGACTCCCCCGTCTAATTTTAGTTTTTAATTGATCATTAGTGCAATGGTTGCTTCTTAATTACGTTCCATTACTGGTCATCTCCTCTGTGTGATCATTTCGTGCTAGGTCGAAGTGAGGAACTTTTTTTTTCTTTTTTGGCCAAAGAAACATTTCATTACTCGTATGATGATCGAAGTTCAGAGTTTATGGTTTTTATTGTTGTTCCTCAAACATTCTTTTTAACTCCATGTTATGTTATTGTTGTGTTAAGGTTACAAAATCAAATAAAATAATAATTAGTGCATTTATAAAAAAAATATCAATAATAAAATATCACTAAAATAAGCATAAAAAGCTTATGAACTTTAAGGCATTTTATGCTCATGTAAAGAGTAGATTGATCGATGTAACAGAAATATATATAATATGTTCTTTTAAGATGATACAATTTTATAATAATACTTTATGAATCTGCACTATTTATTGAGTTATTTTACTCAAAACACCATTCTTTGTTCACCAAGATATAAAGCAGGGTAAGAAGGCAAAAGAATGTGTAGGAACTTCACGATAATTGAGCAAAATGAATGTGTTATTTATAGGATTTCGCAATCATATAACTTTCATTTGTAAGTTAATAATAAAAATAAATTAAATAATTATTATAAAATAATATACTTTTAAATAAGACAGATAACTTATGATGTGTTATTTATAGGATTTCGCAATCATATAACTTTCATTTGTAAGTTAATAATAAAAATAAATTAAATAATTATTATAATATAATATACTTTTAAATAAGACAGATAACTTATGATGGGTTAGTTTGATCAAGTTTTATAATAAATTTAATTTATAAAATATATTATTTTATTTTTATTAGAATATTTAAATTTCAACATATTTTACCTCCTAAAAGTCTGAATTTCTTTTTTTTTCTTTGTTTTTCGTGCCAACAATCTCTCAATATTAATCTTACTTTTAATTAAAATAAAAGATTTTAAATTTAAACTGCATTTCATGTACTGTAAATAGGCTAAATAAATTGTTAACAGTTGTTCCTGTTTTCTAGTCTTTTCATTGATCCTTCATATATTGCATATGAAGGAGTTACTTGCATTTAGACTTGGGAAACGGGAGGGTTGGGTATGGTTTAGCTTGGTTAACTCGAGTGATGGGTTATATGGGTTGGATTATAAATAACTTGCGGTTTGGAAAAGTCTAATCCTAACTCGACTTTAACGGGTTACGAATTAACTAGCGGGTTGATCTTATTTTCATTTTTTATAATTATTTTTCATTAATTTTATTATATACAAATAAAATTATATATCTAAATCTAATTAAAATATTATAATTCATTAATACTGAATATTTTATGGTTTCAATCACAAACATTTAAATTAAGAAAACAATAAAAAATTTATAAATAATA